GATGTCCTGGCTCTTGTGGCTCCCCCGGCCCTCCCGGCAGAACATTCCTCCTCCCTCTTCTCGGTGGTGTGACAGGAGCAGTATCATTGCCGTCAGCGGCCGGATTCGCTGCTTTAGCCTTTGCTTTGGCTTTCACTGAGGCCTTCGCCTTCGCTTTGGCCTTCGGTGAGGCCTTTGCCTTCGGTGAGGCCTTTGCCTTCGGTGAGGCCTTTGCCTTCGCTTTGGCCTTCGGTGAGGCCTTTGCCTTCGCTTTGGCCTTCGCTGAGGCCTTGGCCTTAGCCTTTGCCTGTCCTCTCTTCTGCTTATCATCATCATCTCCTGCATTCGACTTCTCTTCCTCCACCTTCTTTCTCTTGTTCCCTGATTTAGTCTCGCCAGTCCCAGTCTTTTCATCCTTTGTCTTTGGAGTCTTTCGAGGCTTCTTGGGAGCACTTTCCATGTCATTCCCATCTTCCACAATGTCTGCTTTTCCCTTCCTCTTCCTTCCTTTTGGCTCCTCACCAGCTTCCTCAGGTCCTTTAGCCTGGAAAGAGCCTTTGGCAGCTGAGGCTTCCTCCTCAGCTTGCTCACCATTCTCGCCTCCATCAGCCTTGTCATCATCATCATCGTCATCATCATTCACTGGCCTGGAGCCCTTCTTTCCCTTCACTTTCGGTTTTGCAGCGCTTTTTTTGGCAGCTGCTTTTGGCTCCCTTTTGTTGGTTTTCTTCAAAGCAATTTGTTCCCTTCGCGCCACATACTCTGCAGAGTCGATTTCTTCAAACACCTGTGCATTTCCTCGAGCAACTTTGGAAGGCTCCTAGCAGTGGCTACCAAACATTTTTGCTGAACACCTGCTTTAATCGCATTAAGACTTTGGTACGCTGATGCAAAAAGACACAACACTGTCACAAAAGACCCATGCAGAGCAACCACTCCTCGCTTGGTTGACGAAGGTTCGCAGCAGCTGCTGTCGCTGAAGATGCGCCTGGAGCTGTAGCCAGTGATGGATCTGGCGCACGTCCTTCGTGGGCAAGGAGAGTCTGCATAGCTGGGGTGAGGACCCAGTCGTCAGGATTACCATACACTTGGGTTCCATCATTGTCTCCGCCAAATGGAAGCGAGTCCATGATGAAAATTGGGCACCCTCCTTATTGGTCACATGCAGCCATGCCAGAAACTTAAATGTCTTATCCACCAATAGTTCCACCAATACTTATGGTGTAACTTCCTTGAGCTCAGAGTTGATTTGTTTCGTTCGGTTCACAAGCCAAGTCTCCAGAAGGTGTAGCTGGTGGCCGGATCAATTTGTGAAGTTGCGGGCAGGAGGCCAAAGCTGGCAAAGCAGGACCGCTCCTTGGACGAACGGTCAAGAGAGAAGAATTGAAAAAATAGGAACATATCAATTTTAAGATTAAGTCATATTCCAGCTTCGTCACGTAACCCACTCCAGTGTCAAAAGATATACTTGTGTGCTTTCACGCATAGCCCCACCAGATCTATTTAGGCAGGGCACAAATTCACTTTAGCCATCAGCTCCCTCAAGTTTTCCACCAATTTCTCCTTGTCCTGGTTGGCAGGAGCCTCATCATCTGAGGATAGGCACTGCACATCCTGCAGGCATTCATGAGCTGTAAACACCTTGTTTACTACTTTGTTTCAATGATGCAAAGGTGAACTATAATATATGACAGCCATTACCATATAGCACCTTCCACCCTTCTACACAAAAGACACTTTTGCATGGATCAACGTATATGCAAACCGCAAACCCATCAGACTTGACCCAACAAGTCCTTGGAGGTTGTAGAACCAGGGCCAGCAGGTGCCTGCGAGTCCTGCAACAGTCACGCACTGAGGCAATGGATTCCACCAGGACAGGTTTTAATGGAAAAGCCACCATGCCTACAACGCTACAACGCAACCCTTTTGTCCATATGTTCCCAGACATGTTCAAAGGGAAACTGAAAACACTGGCTATGGACCTACCAAGAGAGGTCAAGAGGTAAAGAGGTAAGTTTCAACTGTTATGTCATCTTGACCTCTTTTGGTATCCTCACAAGTGACCCCTGTGGTTCAGTCAGCAGTCCTCAACATCGAGATCAATGCAACCAAGATTGCCATGCGTGCTGCTGAACACTTCTGGTGATGAAAATGGAGGCACACTTGGCAGTGCATCAACAAATGCGAGGAATTCATCCTTGTTCGTTTCGGATGCTTTGGGTTCGGGTAGGTTGGTACCTGCTCCGCACTGCAGTTCACTGGCCACTCGTTCTTGCTTTTGTTGTTGCTCTGGCGCAGGCTGCTGGCTGGGCTGCAAAACGTTGGGCACAGGCTGCCCATTCGCAGCTGGATTGCTCTCTTGCGCGCACTTCTCATTCGCAGTGTTGGGCTGTTGTGCAGTTTGCTGCTCTCCGTTCACCAAAGACTTAAGTCCTTGCCCAGGCTGGTCACTCACGGATTGGTTAGGCTGCTCATCGTGAGGTCGAACGGACCCTGCGGGCATGGTTGGATCAGGCCCAGGCAAAGAAGGCTTGGGCTCAGGCTGGTCACTCATGGATTGGTTGGGCTCTTCTGCAGATTCTGCAGGCCGCTCAGAAGGGCTGGCCTGCAATGCAAGCTGTGGGCTAGGATTGGCATGTGGCTGTGAAGTGGGGAGTGCTGGCAGCCCTCCATTCATGGTCTCGTTGGGCAAAGAAGGCTTTGGCCCTGGCTCTTGCAAAGGCTGCTTGCTCGCAGATTGGTTGGGCTGCTGTGTAGGCTGCTCTTTGCTCAAAGAAGGGCTGGGTTGCATGTTCGAAGATGGGCTGTGCAGTGAAGTTTCGGGCACAGGCTGCTCTCCGTTCAAAGAAGGACTAGGGTGACTAGGGACTGGGCAAGGGGCAGCAAAAGCTGCTGGCTGCAATGCTTCTTCACTTGCCTGCAGTTGAACGCTTGCAGTGACAACTTCAACTGGAAGCGGCTGGGCCTCGGAGATCACAGCTGGACTGGCTTGTTGGGATTCTGCGTGCCCAGGGTCTAGTGCCATAGGCTGCAAAGCTTGGGGTTGAGGTGCTGTCAATGCTTGTTCAGCCTGCAGTGCTTCGTTTGGCTCGGACTCCTGGAGAACATGCATTCTCCCAAGCAAGCCCACATGCATGCATATAGAAGGTCAACAGGGTTTGGGCACATACCAAAAGGTACAGTTTGGACAGAAGGAACAGGGTACCACCAAAGTGCGAATTGAACTCTTGACAGTCCTGATCCGCCATGTGCTTCTTGGGCACCAAACCCACAGATCCATCCTCCTGAAAAGACTGTATATGCAACACCAGGGTGAATTACAGTGGCTGGGTCATCAAAAGAATTCAAAAGACCTTCGCAACTTTGTCACCCCCTGCAAGCGTTTTCCTTTGAATGTGTGCAGTCAGTCCTCAACCTGCAGGACACCCAACTGAACAAGAAGATCTTGAAGCTTTGGGTCCTGGAAAGGCCAGACCGTTTTGGGGTAGGCAGGATGGGAGAACAGCCACACATGCATCCTAAAGAGCAAAAAAAATTACAACATATTATAACAGTTTAGTTGATGGGTTGAGTTGCGCTTTTAATTTTCATGTGCAACACTGACATGGATGTCCTTTGGGCAGCGCTTTGTGCGAGAAGAGTCACGCTTGTCCACCCTAATCGTTGACTTCAGGACAGACACCAAGTGCCGGATAGCCCATGCTTGTTCAGTCATCGTTTGGTCAGAAACGAGGCTGTTGTATAGAGAGTGCACCTGCCTCACTTCATCCTCTAAATTCTCTATGTTCACCAGGCGAAGCTTTGACATTTCTTGGCATACCGGTCGCAACACGCAAGCATTGTACTTCACGTTGTGGACAGTATGCTGAACAAAATTGTTTGAAGCCCGCTTGAGTTTGGTGTCATAGTTGACGACGAGGTTCCACCCTTCCCTCAACCTTTGCCGGACTAAGGGATCATTGTCCCACTTCAAGCATAAACTCATGGGTTTCCCCAAAGATTCAAAGCCCTTGTCCTGCAGGGAGTCCATTGGCAACCCATCCCCTTGCACTACTGCACCACTTGCCGACGGGTCTGCCATGGGACCCAGGAACCCCCTCCCAAAACTCGATCAGTTGCTGTCAGCCAAGTGCTTTGCAGGCAGTGATCATTGCTGCAAAGCTCTGAGAGGAACATGGATTTGCAGAATCAAAAGGATGGAACTTGAAGACTTGATTAGATCGATGAGCAACACTTCATGGTCTTTATGTTGCATGCAACAAACTGCCACAGTGCTGCACACAAGAAAACTGCACTCCAACCGGCAACAACGCGGTAGCACCTTCACCACAAAGGTGCAATCCCCGTGGCTGCGCTCGCTGAGAAAAGCAGGTACTTGAGATGCCTTCTTGGAAGCTTGTTCAAATCATATGCATTGTAGTTTGCCCCAATGAAGGCCATGAACATGTTTACAAAACCTATCATTCAAGATTTTGTGCACCCAAAGTGGGGTTGACTTTGCACACCCTGTGTGCCACTTGAATGGCCGTCCCTAATCTCCATGCTTGTTTGATGAAGCAGCAGCCTGACAGCGAACGAGGCAGGAAACTCGATCAATGAACCCACAGTTGTCCCTTCCACATGACCTGCTAAAACTCAAACCCAGATTCCCATCAAATTACGCTTTTGGCTTCTTGAACGGGTTCGAACGCATATTTCACTGGCGCCCTAAAAATTCTTATGACACATCCCCCAAAACAATCTTTCTTCAGGTTGCCCCCAAAATTTCTGGGTTTGAGGTTTAGCATATTAACCTAATAAGTTTAACTTGTTCTCGATTTGATGTGGTCACGCATATGCCGACGAAATCCGGAGTTGTATTTAAAAGCAGGTCATAAGCCTTAGAGGCACAAAATAGCACAAACATTAGTCGTCAATCAACTTTCCTAACAATGACAGTGGTAGTGGCCCGGTAGTGGCATTGTATTGAACACTACACTGCACTCCACCCTTCCAGCTTGAGCTCTGGGTGAACCGAGAAACGGGCGCCGAGCCTTCCATTGATGGCAGTGATTTTCCTTTGTGCCTCGGCCACACCGAATGGAGAATTGAGCCTTGTCTAGATACCGACGGTATCGCGCCGTGCACCTTTCTAAGCTTCCCTGAGTATTGGATTGTTTCACCCCGATGAAGCTGTTCACGCGATGAAAAGCGTGGGTTGGAAAGATGAGCACTTCCCCTACCAATGAGGAGTCGTGCTTTGTTCGTTTGGTGTGGAAGTTGATGCAGAAATCTCATGAGAGGCGGCGCAACGAACCACTACTAATGATGCAGATGTTCACATCACTTACCCCCACAAGGGTGTTGGTTTGCAAACTATTATTTATTATGGGCACGCTTTCACGCCCCTCAAAAGGCCCCTTCCAGTGGTGCCATGTGGGATTCCAAAAGGGTGGCAAGCACAGACTGAAAGGGCACCGTCATGGAAAAGGAGGTGAGCCACGACTTCTGTTCAGAATTGAGTTGAATGAATCCAACCCAGATTTGGCGCCAAAAACCCTTAGTGATTTCGCACTATCTTCCACCTGCCTAGCCCCTAGGCGGCATCATCGCGGTGAAGGGCCTCAGCCTGCCGGAGGTCCCCCGGTCGGAGAATTGCAGCCATTGCAATAAATGAGCAGACATTGGCAATTGAAGGACGAAGGACATCATGTACCTAGAACCTGATTGACCCATGTTTTGGAGCCAACACATGGTCTTTTCCTAGCAAGACAAAGGTCAAATGGGTTCTAGGTATGCCTACTGGTCAACCACGAGGGGCCTGTTTGCCGCCAGAGGAGTGGCTTAGGGCAATAAGGAGGGTGATTATTAGACATATATAATTGCATTAATCATACACACTCGGCTGCCTGGACTCCTGTACTGTCCATCCCGCATACCTTTGTTTTTGTGGTCCAGCGATGTTCAACTGATGTGTCAACCAAACTCATTTTGGTCAGTTTAAGAGTTGGATCACCAATTGGACTCTTTCACTGCCCGAAGAGACTTCAAAGATTACAAAGGCGCTGATTCGTCCGGCATTTCTAGTCTTAATGATGTTCGAGGTGTTGTTTGATCCTTTGCTCTTTTTACCTCAAGCAATTCGCACAGAAACCCACAGGCCGCAGATTTGTTTGTCCCAGCGCGGTGTGAAAAGGATGCATTCTTATTCCAGATATTGAACGTAGTTTGCAGTTTCATCACCCCAGAAAACCGAGCCGATTGTGAGTTTGAACAACTCCTGGTGAAGTGAGCCATATGGTTGCACCCCCAGCTAAGGTGTTGACAGGGAATCTTGCAGATTAAACTGAATGCAGGACAGCGGAATTCCTTTTTGTTGTGAAGATTTGAAAGTGTAGAAACCTGCTTTGGAAACTAAATCAGTACTGGATATTTCCGCGTGCCTTTCTGAGTTTTGTATACTAAGACGCCCAAACAGCCCTTGATTCTATCGAAAGATGCTGCTCGCTAGGCGTACCAAGAGGTCAATGGCCCAGTTCCTTGGCTGAGTTGTTGACGTTTGTACTTGGCGGCTTTCACCCACTTAGCTAATCAGGCCTTAGATGCTACACCACCTTCACCAATTTTACTAAAGCACTTGATGAAATTGGAGGGTTAGTTATGTGTGTGTTTTCAAGGGATGTGTCATCATAATGCAAAGAGATAGAACATGGATGACACATCCCATCATTGATAATGAATACAGTCAGACTAAACCTAATACTGTTTGTTCTACTTGTTAAGGGATTTCTTTATAGAACAAAATGAATAAGAGAGGATTGTTCATTCTTTCCTTTTCACCTACCAGATTGAGGCCCTTATGAATGACAAGGTTTCAACTTATTGTATCTTTACTTCCAGTTCTTTTAAGAATTCGAGGTGACTTCGGGTACAAATGAAAAGGGGAAAGAACTTTGCTATATATAGGCTCTCACCTGCACTCCACCAGGTCCCCGTGATCTACTCTACCTAACAATACCTACCCACCATGCAGCTGTACCACCCCTCTTCATCCACTCTCACCCATTTTTGGAAATCTGGAAATCATGGAAATGTGAAAATCCACTGGAAATCTGGAAATGATCTCTATAATAATCTCCTAGCGCGACCACCTACCACCTCTCCGGCTCCTTCCACTTCCGCAGGTCCTCCTGACCATCGTCGGCGCCTTGGCCTTGGGCCGCGCCATGGAGCTCAGTGGCTTGGCCAACTGCCTGGCCACCGCCCTGGTCGCTCTCACGCGCCCCTTAGGCGCCGGAGCCGTGAAGCTAGGCTACTGGGCGATGAGCGCGTGCTCCACGGGCCACACGGGCGGTGATGGGGATGGCACGGGCGCCCCGTAGAGGCCCACAAAAGAATTGTTGACAGGTGCTGTCAAGGACCCCGCCTTAACGGTGGGTCCTGGTACATGTGTTCCGGCTACGCGGTTTGGGGCCGCTGGGCTGGGCCGCTGGGCTCACATCTGACAGTATCAGTATTTGGGTGTGAACGCTGATGGCAACAGAGTGAGAACATCCCATCATCGTCCTGCCCGTCGCCACGAAGCCGGTGTCACCGCACATCTGTTGAATCAGAACATACTGGCATCGGCCGCCATCGGCTCTATACTGCATGACCTCCTGCAGGACTACCCGTTTGGGACACTCCTTCCAAAAACCAGCTGCGGTTCTCTGCCCAGCTACAAACTGCAAGCCATTCCATGAGGTCATCCATGGATGTCCATGTCAGTGAAACCACTTACCAGCACACCACACCAGCACTAGCACCATCACCCACAGTGGTTTCAAAGGTTTGATGGCACAAGGCAAATCCCAACTGGACGGTGGTGCGTTATATGGACTCCCATCTGTCAAAGACATCTTACGGGGTGCCTGGCGTGCCATTTGCTCACCTTAGAGGTTAAGGGGTGTCCATTCACACTTCTTTTGTGGGCCCAGCATCTTGAGGGTCCCCACGCGGACGCTTTTCCTCGCAGATCCGACCGTCACAGGGATCTATTTGGCGACGGTGGGCTTGGGGCAATTTCTGAACTCTGCAGCGAATGTGGCCATCATGGGGAAGAGCCTTGATGGCAGTCGTCGGTGCGTTAAACGGGCCTACTGAACCGCCAACTCATGTGCTGCATTAAACGTGGCAGCCCGCTGCTGGCCCGGCTGGGTAGAGGACGTATAATAATAACAATAACAATAGATAACAATAGTAACAATAACAATAATCATTAATAGTAATTAATAGGTGAAAAACGGATTGAAAGGGTTCCAGAAATCCGATTTTCAGGAAGCACCACCTTTGGACACCTTACAGTGGATCTTAGTCCATTTTCAGGCTTGGAAGAGGAAGCTACTATAGGTGGAGGCCATGGCTATTAGGTTGGAGGCCATTACAACAAGGACGCGAGGCCAGCAAGAAGCGCCGGTAGAGTGGAAGAAGGGCGGCGTGGCGTGGGTCGAACGTCCAGGATTGCCATCCCCATCGCCCACAGCATGGAGATCGCCGTGGGGGAGATGGCGCTGGTGGTGACCTACGCGGCCTCCGCTTGTTACACCGCACCCTATGGTTATCAGAGCCTTGGCCAGTTGGATGAGATGGATTAGGTATGATCATAATATTATATATAGGTAATAGTAGATGTTAGTTTGGTGAGTTGGAAATTCTATGCCTTGGGGCACCTGGTATGTCCTTTGTTAAGCACTTGGATTGATCGGTTGTTCAGGGCAGCCTTCCCCTGCCGTCCGCTGCGGCGTTTGCGGTGCCGGTGCCGCAGCAGTTCACCAGGGATTTGGCTGTGCAAAGCTGGAAGGTTGACCATGTGAAGTTTCCCGTTTGGCCTCCAGTCGTACCGAAGCTGAGGTTCGGACGGCCAGGGTCTAAGAATCAGTCGTACCTTCGCAGGTACGACTGGAGGTGTAGAGTTTGTTCAAACCCTCGGTGGTCAACCCGGGTAACCTGGTGGCCAAAAGCGGGAACTGAATCGAACCTTCAGATGCCATTGCTTCTTACTCCTCGCTGTGAGGACCAACACACTGGTCCTACGAGCAGGTGCTGGGTGATGTGCCATGTTCGGGCAGTTTTCTTGGTACATACCATGCGGGTCGACAGGATTTGTTCACCTATCTATCAGATCAGAGCATTATTGCATTGCAGGGGGCAGAGGAAAGAACAGAGTTCACGTGCAGAGAAGTGCTGCAAGAAACATATTGCAAGAACAGTTTCCCATTTCGTGATGTTATTTTTTTTCCTCAGGGTCTTGACCATGGATACCATGGCCAATACGTTAAAGTTTTTGGGGTCCGTTGTGCACTCGGGTGCTATCAATTTCCAAGCTTTTTCGTCGCTTTTGAGCACAACCTTGGCCGGTTCACTTGGTCGAGTTCTTCTCTCAGGTGGATATGTTTGGGGAGACTTCGTGAAGTTTGGTGGCATCCTACAATTGCTTCATATGTGCCCTAGCTGCGTTTTCCGGCCAAAATGAGTCTGAACATGTTTCAGGAGGATGAAAGTTTGGTAACAGTTTCTCTCCAGAATCTAGTGAGATATGCGCCTTTCCGCCAGAATTCCATTCTGATCCCCTGTAGGACGTCTAAGGGGAAAGGGTTTTGCAGGTCGTGTTTTACAGGCTTGTTGCCAGCTGTTGTCCCGTTTGTTGTTTGCCGATCGGCTTGCCCCTGTGGAATCCATATCCAGTCCATTTTTGAAGCAGTAAAGCACGTGTGACTTTACTGGGACCCACACCGTCCAGTTCAGAGCACTCCCATTTCTCGCCCCTGGATCTAAACAGATGCGATCATCCGGGAGATTTGCGAACAGCAATCGGCCCTTTTGGGTACCGATGATGCTGTCGACGAAGCTGGGAGAGAATTTCTGAGTGGTGGATTGGTGGGCCCCATGCTGAGGCTACTGGTGGTGTCGATGGCTGGATGGTGGGCAAAGTTCTCGCCTTGATTCACGCGGAAAAAGCCTTGATTCCGCAGGCGGAGGCTGTGGCAATCTTGTAGCAAACCCTAGAACATGCAAAACTGATGCCAGATTGTCCTGGAAGTATCCCCACAATTTTTCACAAATTGCTCTTTGACTTCCATATGTGGTTCTTGGCATCTTTACTCCACATTTTTAGGTGAAGACGTTTGAAGAAAAACGGCGTTGATTCCATACAAATCCTCCATTCACATCCCCTCTCTACATATATTCGTTGCTGGTTGGCTCCGATCGTCTCCCTCCGCCTCCGCCTCCGCCCCCAGCGGCTCAAAGCGACATCCACCGTCGCGCCTTGGATGGTGAAGGCAACTCGGTGAGGACTCGGCGCCGTCCGCGCCGGTCGTGGGCGAATGACATGCGGCGAACTCATGGCCTGCCTCCAAGCGATGTTCACCATGGTCTTCAAGCTTCCAACCTAGTAGCGGTGGCCTCCAACCTCTTTGGAAACAAGGCTAGGGATGCTAGGGGGCTATATATCTATATATAATTACTTACAATTACTGTATATGTACTTAGATATTATATATACTTCGATACTAAGGCCACGACGCCATGTTTGGGCAAATGAATGGCGTGCCCGCATGAAACGCCAGAGCAGCAAGAGCAAGGTTCACCACTCTCCACCCGTTGGCTCGCCCTAAATCCAACTCTTCATCATGCATGAAACAGCATGAGTTCAGTTCAGGCTGGGGGATGCCAGTGGGTTTTCTGGCAGTTTTTGAGGGTGCAGAAGAATGTTTAGGATGCTTAGAACAAGATTTTTATGATCATGTCATATCTTATCAACTGCAGCTTTCAAGCTGACATGTATAGTTTTGCATTGGAACCTCGTTCTGCCACACTCAGCTGCCCAGCATTGTGGATGAATAAAGATGAATATACATGTTGGAGTACACAAGTGGAAGATACCGAACTCCGATGGATGGCCAGTGGCCTATTCGATCGGCAGCTATACCCATCCATCGGCCCCCCGCTGGAGGCGGTGTAAGCAGATCACAGGCGCTCCTTGGCAGAAACCAGCTGCCTGGGGAACTGCTGATTGGCTCATACTACTCCCCAGACTCCTCAGGAGCCATTGAGCAAGAGCTATCTAACGCGGACTGCTGCGAAGCTCATTGCAGCCTATGAATCATCTCAGCGGATTACATTAGCATAGATCATCCACTTCGTCGCTGTCGAGACTGTTGCTACTGATCAGTGGCCTAGCGGTTGCCCGTTTTGCTGCCCCCAAATGAACGAACGATCGTAACACTGAAACTGATACCTTTTGAATCCATCTGATACCCAAGCCAGCGGCGAGCGCTGCAGTTCTGGATATGGCCAACATCGAATTGGAGCCTGAGGGATTGTCAGACATATAAGATCCTTATATAAGATCCTTAGAACCCATTTGACCTCTGTTTTGATAGGAAAAAAACATGTTTTGGCTCCAAAACAGGGGTCAATCAGGCTCTAGGATCCAAGACCAAAAGCTGAGGGATGGTCAGCGCAGGTGAACCTCTCCGATCCGCTTTGGATCGAGCCTTTCGCTCCGCTTGAGGCCATGAAGCCGAAGCTTCCTGTCAAGCTTGACCTGTCGCCACCTGCCTGGGTCTGGTGTTTGGGTCGGACCCGAGCGGAACGGGAGGCCTTTGTGAACCTGTTACGGACGTAGCAGGCCTTGCTACTGACGCAATGGACTCCAAGCTAATGGCGAAGGCCTCCAGCTAGTAGGTCTCATTAGTCGACTTTCCTGACATTGTGTCTCATTGTCCCTGGACCTCAGATCAGGATTCAGGAGTGGGACATGGCTGTGGGCTGTGTGGGCTGTGGGCTGTGGTGCAGGGGCCGTGTGCCGGCGTGGTTGCAAGAAAGAACACCGAGACAAGCATGGAGATGAGACGATGATGATGAGCCATACGCAGCCATACCCAATCAGGAGAGTGAACATCATGAAAGGAGGAGAAACACGGCCTTGATTCGATGATCTTAGAAGGGGTGTTTGGCCAGGAGATGCAAGGAGCTGGAATGCTTCGCTTGATGATATTGTCCCTGCATGCTTGAAGCCCCAAGTGGATTCAAGAAGCTTCAAGAGGCTGCTGTTTAGACCACGATGGAGGAGAGACACCCCCAAAAGGCTCGACAGTGCCCAAGCTCCAAGCTGTTGATGTTTGGTTCATGTCCTCGTCCCCCAAGGCGGCTCGGGCACCACACTTCATAGGCTTCCATGTTTCTCAGACGCAGTCACCCAGAGGAGGACACTCATCCCCCAAATCCATCGAGAGCTGCGGAGTGAAGAGCTTTGCACTTTTGGATCTGACCGACGTCGTCGCGTGGGACCCGCAAGGGACAGCGGCAAGGGACAGCGTCAAGGGACCCGCAAGCTTGAGGTACCGTGCTAGCAACGGTGACGCGAGCACGTTCGACTGGTCGGAGGTGCCAGAAGGTGTCCTGCCTTATGAGGCTGGTCAGGGCATCCCAGTCCGGAAGTCGCTTCGAACGAGATGCAGAAGCGAGGCCAGCCTTTGAAATTCAATAGTACTGTATAGTACTGTAAACATCCGTGCAACAAAAAGACCAGAGCCTGAAGTAGGTGGACGTGACCCTCAATTCGACCTCACCGACCTACGATGGAGACCACTTGGAGACCGCAGTGTCTTTTCCGGACCAAGCGGACCAAGCGGACTCGACTACTAGAACGAGCACTCGGCGGAGCAGGAGATCGACTTCTCCTACAATGGGATCACCTCGGCCGAGCTCGACCGAGCCACTTGGACCGGGTCGAAACCAGACCAGTAGACCCGTCGGACGGAACGAGAAGCACATGGAAGCAGCAAATGTGTTTGAGGAGTAGACCGGAGGGTTTAAGGGTGGTGATGGGTACCACTCAATCAAGTTAAAATGAGTTGTTTAGGAAACATTGCACCAACCTCAGTGATTCGGCACCACCATGGCACTGCCGCTGTTGCGGCCACCCACCACAGGTCTTGGAAGTTTGCAGCCGCTGCCCCAAGCTTCGTGTTTTGCTCTTTGGCGCGAGGGGGTCGTTGGGGGTCGGCATATGGAACTTTGGAAGGAGGGCCTCCTGCCAGGGCCGGCTGGAAACGCAAAAGGCTGAGATGACTTCTCCAAATTTGGGTGCACAGTGGTCTTGCCCCTAAAGAAACAGGACACGGAGACAAAGGATTCCCTTTCGTGTTATTCGCTTCTGAAACGGAACATCTCCTTCATGTATATAGTATATAAGTCAGTCCCATCCCGCACTAGCAACACATAAGTTACTCTACCTCACACAGTCCTACACCTACCAGCCCACCTAAAATGTGCGCTAGCACCTCGCAGCACAGCCATGCCACAGCAGGGCGACCTCGCCACAGGAAACTCTTCAAGAACAGCATCGACGACAGTGGCGCGGAGGGCCTGGCCGAACTTTGTCGGCAGAGCCCCAAGATCGAGGCTGGATGCAGGGGCAGATGCGGGGCAGACGGAGCTTTTCGCTCCGCGGAGATGTCCCCAACATGTGTTTTGGATCATTCTCTAGCTCGTCATGGTATACAGAATATGTTGGTCAAAGCATTTGCCGCTTTGTTACAAACCCTATCAATCCTTACTTGGGTGAGTTCTATTTGGTGCTTCTCCAAAACCACATCTTCTCAAAACATTTCCAACACCGGCTTTGGTGCTGAAAAAGCGGCATTTCCCCAACTGGCCTTTTGTGAGCAACATTGCGGGCCCGGCGTTTCTACACGTGTCTACGGCAAATGTCACCTGTCAAGCAGGAAGCCAAGGGAGATCCAAGAGTTTCGACGTAGAGCCAAGAGTTTGGACGGGTTTCTGATGTTTCTATGGAGATCCGATGCATCGGCGGATCCGAACGAGCATGCGGGTCCGCGGACCCGCAGGGGTATATATAAGCTCTCTCCAGTGACGGCAAAAAAATCAAACGTAGAGGTTCCTCTCCAACGTAATGGTCCACTTGGCCTGTCAACACCACAAACCCATATATATATATATACACTATAGGACAGTGACATAGGACACATCCCATTTTTTCAGTGGCAGTTACACCATCGACGCATGGACTCGTTCAAAGCCGGGAAAGGTCGAACAACATGGAACCGGCCTGAAGATGAGGTTCCGAAGACCACAACCGGGTGTGGTTGATAGACCCAGGTTCCATGTGGGAGATGTGGGTCTCGAAACCTAGGGTGTTGAAAAAACGAGTGTGACCAGTAATCCCCTGCAATTCGGAACATCACGGAACATCATGGAACCACGTCGGGTTGGAAATTCCGGAAATGGTCGAAGTCACGGATTTCTCTTCTCAGGTTCCATGTTAGTTTTGGGAAGGGCGGAGCGGCAAAGTCCAGAATGCGATGGCTGCTCGCATGCGGCAAAGCCATGCAAAGCCTAGGAGAAAGTTGGCCAGTGAAACTTGACTGCTGAAGTCCAGCAAGTCTAAATCCCCGAGTCTGATTGGTGTATGCTTGTATGGATGGACCCCCCATTTGAAAGTCATTTTCGGTGTTTATGCCATTTATAGGAAAGAACTTCAAACCAGATGAACATATTGCTTTAGGACCCTTCCTACATGGCCGAAAAACGCAGTAGCAACGCCAAAAACGCGCCTGCCCTCACCAACCCGCAACAGGAGATCCATTTGTCGCACAACATGTTCACTGCGGAGGGCGTCCCTCGGGATGGACGAAGTCCCGGAAGTCCCGAGAAGCCGGTCCTTCTGATCGAATCCCATCGGGGGTACCTCCTGTGTCGTTCCCTCCATCATTTGGCTTACTTTAGGGTAGACCTCCATCCATGTTTGACGGCTAGAGACAAAGAGAGGGTGAGATTGGATCCACATGTATCATGGTAAAGATAATTAGGCAAGCATGATTTCATCGTGACGATCTGTCCTTCGGGGTCTTGAGGTAGAGCTGTGTTCACGTTGCTGAGGTGCGAATTGCAACCGTTGTCAACTGTCTACAACCGTCGTTGAGCGCAGACGCGCTCTTTGCCCATGGCCTCCCATTCAAATGAGGCTCTTCAAATTAGTGTGAAAGAGGTTGGAAACGAGACTTTACAAGTATGATGATATGATGAAACTCCGTGCAGACACAACGTTTTTGCCAGATCGGCACGTTGTGTTGCCCTTCCAATCCCTAGCCATTGGGATTTGTTGCTCTTGAAGGGTTTGCTTATGTTTGCTGTGTTGGCTCCTGAGTTTCACCTTGATGTTTCCATCAGTCACTGAACGAGGCCAGTGTGATCATTATTGCAGCGGAGGCCTGTCGGCAGCCTGACACGGCTGCGGACTTAGCCGTTTCGCACCGACGATTCTTCCGGGAGATCAAGCAGCTTTCGGAGTTGCAAGGTAAAAACATGATCATGCATGGCATGATGGGGGGCCATCCATCGGATTTTGTTGGAACTGTTAGATGTTATGACAGCCATGACAGCCATGGCGGCCATTCATGTTTCCTGACATGTGCTCCTCCTTTTCGTATTGGTGGGTCCCGCTTCGCGGGCCTGAATGCATGTCGCCTTTGCTGCGCCCAGGTGCCTTTGTGGCTTCGCTTGGAACAAAACCACATCGATGATGCGGAAAATGTGTTTCGTCGCCTGCAGGCGGTGGTTCTGGGGACAGGGGTCATGATGGGGTCCACTTCCACAGGGCCATGGGAAGTTCCAGAGTCTGTTTGTAAGCAGACCTAAATGACATAGGCAAAATAGACCGACAAGACGAGTGACTGAGTCCAAGTCTTGTTTTGGGGTCGTGTCAATTCTATCTATTTGGAATCTTAGCATCTCAAGTTGAAAGAAACTCCCCTCCTGTGTTGCCACAGAGACCCTGCAGTGTAGTGCAGGGCACAAGCCAAGGCTCTTGAAAGCCTCGTTTTGCCTCGGATGAAGGCAATCGCCACCAAAAGCTGGAACAAGTCGACACTTACAGATGCAGCCGCAGTTGGAGGGTAACAATCTTTTATGTACCAAATTTGTGTATGATGCCTCTAGGAACTGTTTCACCATGCATAGTAGGGGTTGAGAAAGAACACACATGGATGATCAAGATTGAAAACAGATATGTAATAAAGAATAGACAAATACCAGCACCTTCAAAGGGGTCACCAATGGAAGCCCCTACCTAGGGATCTCCAGACAGGACACCCCGGTCTGTCAGGTCCAGGTCTGTGTTGTATGGTTTTAGATCTCTTGCCGCGCTCCAGGATCGCTACAGCGTGTGCCGGCGGATCGACCCCAAGGCCTGCACCAGCAGGACCTGTGTGTGCCTCGTCAGAGACCACATCGGATCGGGTGGTCAGGGCTCGTGGGGGACGTGGGGGACGGAGAGGTCTGCGATCTGGATTCATCTGGGGGATCCGCGGCTCTGATTGGTTCATCCGGGTTGGGGGCCCGGGCGGCTCGCAGTTGGGAATGGAGTCACTTGCACCGGCGAGGGAGGGCAGCACAGTTGCAGAAAAACGACGATGTTGAAACCGGCAGTTTCATATCGATGGAAGAACTCGACGATGCATAGAAACCTTTGAACTGGTCGTTGGTTTGCTTTCGCGGCCCCCATCCAGTGGTAAAAGAGTAAAAGAGGTTATACAGAGTTGGGGCTGAGGTCGAAGCATGCAGGTTTTGTCGTTCTATGTTCGGTGTGTTGCTCGGTAACCATGAGGGATTGAGAGAGACATACACTCCGCCTGAAGAGCAACAAAGATGAACTTTGCAAAACTGGCAAAGTGGATTATCGAACACACTGAACGGTGAGCCAGGTGGAAGTTGGAAAGTCATGATGTGGTTTTCGACCAAATGGATGTCAACCAGCAATGTGAACGGCTCAATCTATAGCAAGACAGCCGTTTTGCAAAAGAGTGAGGCCACTGTAGAAGATGCACAAGGGGCAAATTACTGGCCAAATCTGGCCAACTGAAAAGCACTGATGATGTCAGGTTAGCTCAACCCCGGATGGCACATTCGTGTGCCACTAATTGTGATAGTAGTGAATTGAATACAGTGATGAATAGTGTGTGAAATGGCCAAACAGACATGACACATTCCTAGTTTGGATCACCAAGATGTTTAAATCGGATGAACTATAATAAAACTAAGTGGATTTGTTTAACCAGGTGGTGGTGTTCACCTACGTGAATGTCAGCGACTTACGACTTGAGGAAGAAATGCCTGGTCCATTTGCCACACTTCTGCCTGCAGCGTTTGTCACATGTGTGCCCGGCATGTACTTCTTGAGGGTGTGGAGCTGTTTATTGTTTTTTACCGACCAATGCGTATCGATCGACATAACCCAGACTATCCATGATGCCATGGGACTGCAATAGTATACATGCGCTAACTATTCTAGTCCCATGGATGGGTCTGGGTGAACTGAGACATTCTACAATGACGAAGTGAAGCTTAGAACACATTTTGGAAAACATGCGCAGGTCTTGATGTGCTGAAAGAAGACTTAGAACACGTGTGTGAACTTAGATGTGAACTTAGAACATCAACCACAGCGTGTTGAACTTAGAACATTATTAGTAGAACATGGGTAGAAAATCAGAATCATTCAAACAGCTGCAGAATATAACATAGAACATGCACGATGACCATACCAACCTGAAGATATATATTATATATGGGGTGTACACCTATAACTAGGAAACCAATAGGAGTTTACAAGGAAATCAAAAAGGACATGAACAGGGATCAAGAGGAATCCAAAAGGAACCAATAGGAATCAACAGGAATTCAAAAGGAAATCAATAGGAATCAACAGGACTTTTAACGGAAATTGATAGGAATGAAAAGTAATTGATATAAAAGGAAACCACTAAGAATCAATAGGAACTGGTTTCCTAGCATCCTGTGGACGGTCTAAGTTATGTATACTGCATGAGGCCTTGGGAGGAATATGTACTTAGAACATCACAGCTATATGTCCACTTAGAACATTAGGGACAGATTTGGCTGTGAGGTTCTAAGAGCATGTTCTAAGTTAATTACTCGTGTTCTAAGTTTGAATGTTGAAAAAACCAGTGGTTTCATTGATGTTCAAAAAAATGTCTGACAAAAATCAATTTTGTAAGTTTCGCTACGTCACTGATCTTCATCCTCCGAAGTCTTCAGATCAGACCCTTCAGGGGAAAACCCCCCGGATCCCCCCAAAAAAACCGAGCCGCGGCCATTCGGGGTCAACGGGGTCTCGTTATTATGTTAGCCCGGTGGAAGGTGCCGTGCTCACCGGACAAACACAGACCAGCGGGCCACACACGACACAGACCCATTCTGTTGGAAGGAGGCTTCAGGACTCTTGCATGGTATGTAGCTGAATTCCCGACAATTATAGATTTCAGGCAGATTGCCCTAGTACCACCTCGTGGGTGGCTCATGACTCATGACGGCCAGCGAGCTCGCTTTCTCACTCGCCCATCTCCGCATCCCGACCTGCCAGGTGGATTCTCATCCCGACCTCCCACAACTGGCGAAGAGCGGAGCGACCAACGGGAACAACGGCAACCACGCGTTGCCAAGACAAATGATGCGACAGTTCCGTGAGGATCTGGATCGGCAGAGCCTTTGGCAGAGATTGGGATTGGCACCCGGCATGCTTTCGGTGGGGATTCCCGGTCGGCAGGTAAGGAGAAGTATAGATGATGGGGGAGATGCTGGCGAACTGGCTAAGCTGCTTAGGTTTCTTTCCTTTGCGCCCGATTCAACCTCCGTCCACCGGATCTTCCACCTCTCCTTCGCAGCGGTCGGTCGGTTCGCAGCACCCAGGAAGGGCAAGTCCAAGGGCAAGTCCGAGCCACTGGAGCGCGTCGCTTTGGTCCTTCGGCGGTGGAAAGTCCACCCGAACGTCGTTCCGCGCGTCGCGGATGGGTCACGGTGCCGGTGGCACTGGCGGAAGAAGCACACCGACTGGGATGAGCAAGAGAACGATTCGGATCCGGGTCGTCCATGCGAAAGCAAATTGAGGATAGGTGAGGGTTCCTCAATGGTGAACTGTGAACCAGTCTTGTCATCAACATGGGCGACCCATGGTAGCTCATCAGCATTGTGTTCACCACGTTTGGAGGCCTCCACCGATGGCATGGCCCTTGGGTCATCTGGCATGGCTCATGGAGGGTATGTCCCCTGGCACTGGGTGGCTAGATGCCGACCCAGCCCATGACAGGGCCCGCTAGTTTGCTCGCGGCACTGGAAAGGGGTCATTTTCCATCATTTTCCCTTCTACGATTTCTGACGTTGATGTTTCTTGCCCAAGCCTTTAGATCCTTTCCGGCACCCTGCGACCGGAATTCCCATCCCCCCCCGTGCTGCGACCACCAAAAGGCGGAGCGTGCGAAGATCGACTTCGAGAAGCCGCGGCCCATGCAGCGAGCCGTCAGCGACGAGGCCGTCGGTCGACGGTCCGCGGGGCTTTCTGCTTCGGGCGTCGACCGAAGCGGTGAATGGGTATTTCGTTGTGATCAGCGGAGAGGTCTGTGCAGACAATGCTTTCTTGAAACAGATAGATCAGATAGGAAAGGTATTTTTACCGTCCTGGAAGGCGTGTAAAATGAAATATGTTTGCAGTTGCCTATACTTAGTTCTACATCTACTTAGTTCTACATCTAGAGTCACACATGCCGTTACATACTGGCCCATAACAGCTTGTTGTTTGAACCTTTCTAGAGGGAAGCACTCATTAGCTCAGAGATCCTGAGAGTGACTCTTTTGGATGATGATCGGCTACTTGCTAGCAGGATGATCACTGATCACCCATAGAGGTTGTCCTACAAACAGGTCTTTGTGAGCCTGAGGGCTGGCAAACGGAGGACATTGGGCACCTGGGATGGGGCACGAGTGTACATTCCCAGGCTGGAGAAGAAGAGAGGTCAATTTCACCCAAATCTTCAGTCTTTTGAGTGCTTTCTCGGTCGTTTCTGGATGTTTGATCGTGTTTTCCAGGTTGCGCCCGAGGGTGGACGGCCTCCACAGATTCAAGTGGAGCAGTTGGTCGACCCCGAGGGCGCCCAGGAGCATCCCTGCGGCCGGTGACGGGCCGACAGTCGCGGCATGACACGGAGCGTGGAAAGAGATGGGTTGAGCTTCTCGAGGTGCTTCGCTATATCAGTCTATATTATTCTCGATATATATATATATATATTAATATATATATATATATACCCTAGGGATCCACATACCTTCTCAGAAGGTGTTTGGGGTGGGTTTGGAGGGTCCAGGTGCCTTCTGAGAAGGTACTTAGGGATATTATATAGTATTTTTTCTCTCGGCCGGGCACCTGAGATGTGATTGACGGCCTCACGGCAGCTCATCTTAGATGCAGCGGTCCACAACTCGCCCCCAGGTCCACTTAGACGCCCGGTAGACGCCTGTATAGCAGAAGCAGTTGCAGTTGCGCATATTTGCGGAAGTTTTTCTCAGCCGAGCTTGGAGGCGACACTTTATAGGGATGAGGACCTGTACTCTTGATTCATAACGCCCCCCATATGAAGAGGTGTCACCGTCCAAATGGATGGAGTTTTATGTATCTAAGAGCCAAAATGGATGTGCAAGGCTTTAAGAAAACGTTGGCCCGGATCATGCTTATGACTCATGGCATCTCATGGCCTTGTCTGTTTCGGGCTGGCGGTGCCTTGTCCCTGGTTTTCTCAGGAGTTTTTCTGCTACTTGTGCCACGGAGTCCTTTACCTCCCAATGCTCACGAGATGTGACTTGGCCGGCAGCTGTCAGTGACATGGGACTATGGAACCCTCCCTGATAAGAGAGAGAGAGAGGTAGCGTACAGTGAGACACAATGAAACTCCGATTTGATCAGGGTGAATCATGCCACCAAATCTACCATCATTGGTTGTGGCAAGGTCCTAGTTCTGATTCTTTAAGGAGTTGTCCTTAAGTTGTGTTTATCAAATGCATCATAAGCTTTGGACAGCAGGCCGTTGGGCAGTTCAATCAGCATGTGTGCCATTGTTGGGCGCCAAAGCTGGCGACGATGTTGCAAGGCTACTGGAATGAAGAGACGCGACATATGGCCGGCCTCGTGTTCATGTGTTGCTTTAGAAGTTCCGGCTGCAACTAGAGAGCAGTCCGGGACTTGAGCCCGAAACAGCCTCAGTTGGTTTGGTATGGAGAGCCTCCTCTCCGCTGTACATAATTCTAGGGTCCATGAGCCCGATGCGAAGAAAGGGACGAAAGTAAGGACAAAGTACGCCGCCAAGTTCAGTTTGGAACCGCTGTTTGGGCCAAAACAGAGCCTGGAGAAGTGACTCTCCCTGGAACTAACATGGAAAACCACCTGTTCCTAGAGGAAAATGGTCTTCCAGGCCAAGTTCCTCTTCCATGTTAGTTCGGAGAAGTCAAGCGTTTGCAGCTTGCACGAACGGGAGTTTTTTCCGACCATGCGCGGGACCTGCCCAGGCTCTCACCTCTTTTGCAGCCCATGCAGCTTGGCGGGTGGACCGAATCCGCTCCCATGGGATGTCCGATCTCATCTACTGTCTACTGACAGGAGAGGATAGTTGGCTGGTCAACTTTCACTTCTCCAATTGCTCAACATTTGGGGAATTAGGCTTTGCCGTTTCATTCCAAACCAACCATCAACTACCAGTGGTGATGAGATCCACGATTCTTGCAAATGTTACAACTTTGCTGGGGTGCTTGTGTGGGAAAGATGCACAGTGGTTTCAGAGTAGATGGCACCAAGCACAAACCCTGACCCTTACATGTCTTTTAGGGGGGTCCATGATGGCACCACCAAACTTGGGGATTGTGGCATCTACTCTGAACCACTGTATTGCATATTGAAGGTGTGCATGGGCCAAGTTGAAACGATAATGCCACTTCATTTTTTTTGTGGCGGATTTGGTCTAAGACACCAAGCCACCTCATTCAGTTCAGTGTTTCGACCAGGGATTTTTGCTGATGCTTGTAGAACATCAGTCATGAGCTTTGTTGCACGGTTTCTTCCCCAGCAGTGCCCTTTTTCCTCCCCCGTGTTTTGTTTTTTTTTGCTGGTGTGAAAAGCCAGGCAAGACCAACTTCAGTGAATTCCAAAATGCTGACCCCTCCATACCCAGCAGCGTTTGAGGTCCGTAACCCCAAAGCTGCTCGTGTTGACCGCCTCGTCGACCGGTTCTCTTCGCCCAACCATTTGGCCCATTTCAACTTGTTCCTATAGGGGTCTTGAATCACACAAGAATAGGATCCTCAACATCTCTTAAAAGCAAGGGATCGAAGTAGTGACATATTTGCACAGGCAATCCCAAGATTGCCGAAGCCCAGCGCATTTCCTTTGCCCTTTCTCAAGATCTCCGTGTCGGGGAGGATGCATGGACATAATGAGTATTGCTTGCAAACCATCGTGTTTGACAAACTGTTCACTAATATCGCTAATATGTCAATATTTGGCCACACATCTCACCCTGCATGTTCACTACCTGAAAAAATGATGTTGCATTCTTTCTCACTCACCATGTTCTCACCCGATATGTTCTCAGCCTAACGGGCCTAACTTGTTGTTCTCAGCCTAACTCCCTTGTTGTTCGAAGAACGAGCCGATGAGACGAACACCGTGGACCCGTGAGACGAACAAACCGGTCACCAGGCTTTCAATCATGGGTCATGGACCGCGCGACTTGGCCAAGACAGGTGGGTCGAGAGGGTCCAGTGGGCCTTTGTGAAACATCGAAAGAGTAGCAGCTGATTGGATCGTTGAGTGTGGTTGTGACTCATTCTTGCACATCCTGCCCTATTTTTGATGATTTTCTCCTGTGATTCTTGCAGTTGTGCACTTTTGTGCACTTTTCAGAAACCTCAGAAACTGGTATATACAAAGCTTTTGGGCTCCTACGGCTTGCCCCGCGAAGTATAATTAGCTTAAGGTATAGATTCATTCCCACTGCGACTTGTAAAATGACTTCTATTGTCTATTGCTTTAAGTGACCAGGCCCTGTTAAATCGTCCCGAAGTCTTCCATTTGGCCCAAGCTTTTGGAGCCCGGGAGTGACAGGAACCATCGTCACAGGATGGAACATGAGTGATTTTCTGATGGCTGTTGATTGATTCTCATGTATTAGTTAGGGTTGTTGATGAATCAATTACATGTATTCATTGTACTACACTAGTTAGGGTGGCTGTTGTATTCCTTACCTCCCTAACTAGTGTAGTCCTCCGAGAGGACTGAGCCTGTGGACCCTGTGGACCTAAAGGTCATCTGTATGAGGACTGGCCGTGGAAACCTAAGGTGAATGAGCATCAGACTGGACCCGCCTCTCAGCGCCTTCGGCGGAATGAGGGACCTCTTCTGGCGACGCCAAGAAATGGGACGTGATCGGAAGTTTCAGCAAGAAGATTGGAAGCTTTCCAGGTGTAATATTACATGTGGTTTGTGCTTTTTCGTTGTTTGCTCCACTTTTGGCCCTCCGTAGTGCAACAGGGTTCATTTCCACAAAGATATCCGGAACTGGTTTCGAAGATTTCCGACCCCAGCCTTGGCTGTAGCTCTGGGCACTATACGTAGCACTTTTTAACTGCCCAAATCAACTTGGCCACACCCATATGGTCCAGCGGAATCTTGTTCTGAGAAGGGAGAAGGGAATGAGAATATTCAGGAAACAATTCAAAGTGATTTGCTTCGTCTTGGGGCGCAACCAACAATTGTTTGCAGGACCATTGCTTTATGAAGTGTATAATATCTCCACCGTATATAGCCCCTTATAAGGCGGCGGGGTTTCAATCACCGGCTTGGTCTGCCTTTTGCGAACAGCTTGAGCAGGCATTGGAGGATTCGCAGTTTTTGTATGTTTTGGTTCTCCCCTTTGCCCACCTCCCAAACCCATGTTTGGGTTCTTCCAAGCAATTGTGCGATAGTGATGGCCCCTGGGTTTCAGGTCAGGCCTGGATCGCGGGTCACTTTCATCAGGTGACTTTGAAGACAGTGGACCTTGTCTACTACCAAAATTGGTGACTTTGATGCCCCCAAGAGCAGTGTTTGGCTCAATTCTTCGCCAGCTACTCCCATGGACACAGGCTGTTCTCCCATGCTCCCCAAGCCGAGCCACGCCACCGACTCACTCGACCTACGACCTACGCCCTACGCCACCGACCTACTAGACGACCCCGAGCGACCTAGGCAATCCATGCAGGCAATGCCTTGCCCGATTTGCGAGAACGGTCTCAAGCCGCTGGGTTGGGCAAAACGGGATCCTGGGGCGTCGTGTTGGGGGTTTTAATGGGGTTGGAGATGGAGTACTCAGGTACTCCAAGATGACCAGTGAGGGGTTGGAGGTTCATTCTGGTTGTGCTGATCAGGTGGTTCTTTTGATTCCCTATGGTTCGCTGCCCAGCATGGGCCATGTCAGACTCGAGCTCGCGTCGCGCGTTTTACTCCCGAACTGGGGATTGATCCCCACAACTGGGGAAGATGTGTCATTTTTCCAGGTTCCTGGACAGCAAATCCAAGTCATTCGCTAGGGATCCAAGTACCTTCTCAGAAGGTGTTTGGGGTGGGTGCCATTGTCGGGTCCAGGTGCCTTCTGAGGTTCGGTACGACTGGATCCCTAGGGCAAGTCATTCATAGTCATTCTGGATGGAGTCATCCGGAAGAATCGGCCTGGCGGTCCTTGAATGGCACCTGGGACTGGTCCGACCGGAGTCATTCGGCCGCTGGAACTGGCGGACGCACGACCTTTCAGAGGCTGAAAGCTGTCGAACCGTCTCCCTTTTGTCAAGAATGGGCCTGTTTTTCATGGTCCTCTCTCAGCTTGGAGTATTGAAACAGGGACGTGGCAAGATCACAAAGTAAGGTTCCTGTCTTCTGAGCATGCGTTCCAACAGACCCTATGGACGGAATTTCAACACAGCGCTTGTATCATGAATGTTGAGATTCCCTGCTTCGCCTGCTCCCTTTTGGCGAGGATTGTGGGTCATACTTGATGTCCATCAGTTGGCACATACTTGAATCAAACACACTGTGAATTAATAGATATAACTTATAACTATATAGTCACTAAAGTTTAACTTCTTTGTCGAAATCCTTCATTGGTGAGTTGTTACTTGGGAACAAAATGAACACCCATATACTCATTGATTGTCAGTGAAACTAATTAGTTATTAAAGGACATGACTACCAAAGGTTTCAATCAAGCGAGCTCTATCGAATGGGGATGTTATTTGGTGCTAGACTCTGGTGCTATGCCCTTTTAGCTACAGGGCTGAGGCTTTTTTGAGAGGCAAACTGAAGAAGAACGGAAACCACGAATTCAACACGAACGGAACGGTTCGTGGCGCTGTTCAGTCATCAATCATCGATGAATATCATTGATATATGATTGAGGCTTCCAGTCGCATAGTGGTTCATCAGCTTTTTGTCACGCCCGTTGCCTTCCGATTCCCAGCAGCCCTGAGAGTAAAGCAAGGAAATAGAAGCAATGTCTTCGTGCCACTTCGTGCATACTCTAAGTTATTCACAACGCAATGGTGGTAAATCATACCAACAATCAGCGCAAACATTTGTATTTGCAGCTGATGTTGCATTTGCGCCCAACCTATGTTTCTCACCGCTTCTTGCAGGGCCAGAAGTGGCTGGAAGTAACTATGAAATATAACATAATAATATATTGTATAATTGTTTGAGTTCACTTGACGAGAACTTGGCAGTGTAAGGTATGGGGCAAGCAATCCATAGCTGTTGAAAAGTCTAGTGGCAAGCATTGGAGGCTCTAGAACTATCCGGTGATAGACCTTGGTTACAAAAAGCTGCCTTCAAATTGAAGACGTGTGTGTGAATGCTCCCAAGGACCATTGTTCAATTTTGGCTTGGTTGCCCTCCCCCACCAGGCATGTGATCTTTTGGGTTCCAGGTTCCGCGGTTCCGTTCTCGACCGCAGACGTGGTACGCCAAGGAAGGCAGACGTGGTGCCTCTCCACCGCGCGCAGCATCCGGCCGCGGGCATTCTCCAGCGACAATGGCAGCTTGACGAGGGCATCATGTGTGAAGAGAGAACGGAGCTCATCGGGGTCCACCTGGAAGAATTGCCCAAAGAAAGAATGTCACCACTGGTGCTTATGAAACCTCGCACCAAGCAGAGATCCTTTCGTGTCCACGACATTCCTGAGGGCGACCTTCGTCGCCCTACCCTGTGGCCTTTGCAGGTGGCCTTTTACTATAGAAGGGGATATATATCCCAAGTGTACAACCAGTTGGTATATGGACGTATATGGTACCACATCGACCATTCATATCCATTCATCCTTCTTCCCAGAAAACATGTCACTGAAATTCTGCGTGTCCAGGCATTCGATCAAGTTGAAATGTATCCACCACATTGACTTCACCAATGCCATGTCTCTTGGCTCAGCAGACGACAGCAGACCTCGATCGACGACGGTAGGGTACCTTTGCCACGATGGCACCCGAGACGGCCCCTGAGCGAGCAGCAGTGGGAAGTCCCGGCCTCGATCCAGACAGGACTCGCTCAGAAGAGCCGTGGGCCGTCGGCTGTCCGGATGTTTGAGGAGACCTTGGGTGGAATTGGGGTGACCCCAGAGGGGCAAGATCTAAGCCCAGTAGCGGCATGTCAAAGCTTGGACCCACAGAACACCTAGATACATGTAAGACAACAGTTGGCGAACATCACCGGGAAATCTCACTCTTGCTATCTCTTGCTACTCCTAAAACTAGGCGCATCTTGTTTGTTTTCGCTTTGGAAGAACCACCACACTTCTTCATATGTTTGTTCCGTCACAGTTGCTTCACGTACGCTTCTAAGCACGTCGCCGCGTTTGGCAGATGCCGTCGGGCCCTGAGGCGCGGAGCCTCCCCCTTGAGGCCGCCCTTTGCGGAGCCAGCATGCCGGATGATCCTGGGCGGTCGCTGCGGTAAGCCAGTAAGCCAGTCGTTGGGTGGTTCCAGCCACCAGGGTGGATGTGGACGTGACACGGGCACCCCCCAGCCCCAACCTCGGATAGCACAGAGAGATTCTTTGAGGGCCACCCTTGGAGCGCTGATCCAAGAGTGCCCAAACCGAGCGGCACGCGGCCACCCACGTTTCTTCTTTGTTTCAGATGAATAATTGTCAAAAAAAATAACATAACAGAACTATTAATATAAACTGCGAACACAAAGAGGTCCAATTTCGGTCACCAAAGCCAATTTTGGCCCAGCATCCCCCTCCCGAGATAAAGAAAAAAGAAGAACCTCGACGTGACGTGAAAAACACGGGTTTTTGGCGTGTTTCGTGTCTCGAAGAGGTCTGGCCCACGAAGTACTGGTGAACAACGGGAATGCCCCTCCGCCGAGCCGCACCGGTTCCGCCGGAAACGCCACCAAGGAGAGAGCGTGGCGTGGAATGCCAGTGGGTCGGCGACCTGCCGGACCGCGGTCCGAGCGACGGTGACGTTGGTTCGCTGGACGGGTGGATGGGTAGAGTCGGTGAAGATCTGGAAGAAGATCTGGAAGAAAATGCGAAGGTGGCCAGAATCATATATGAATATATATATATAAAATAAAAACTATAGATTTAGATTATAGGATATATATAGGTTGTATTAGATTATACTATATATATAAGATTATTAGATTAATTATACTATATATAGGTTGTATTGGTTGTATTGGTTAAATGGGTTAATATGGAACCGATTATACACTTTATAACTGTATATTTTGTCCCCTACCTGTCCAAGTGAGGGTCCTTAGATTTGATGTCACTGCTACTCCCCCTCCTTCTTTGGTCTAGCCTTTCCAGTCGTCTCCGCCGTAAGTGCTTGCCTCTCCCAGCGATCAGGGCAGAAGCTAAGACGCTGCGGTGCATCTTGGACCTCGACCTGATGCCCCGGGTGCCTGGGTGTCACTTTGTCCTCAGCAACTCAGGACAACTCAGCATCGCAGCCGTCTACGCATCGCGGCGCAGCCCAGCGGCCAGGCGGCCAGCTACACAGCCTTGAAAACACCGCAACACTCTCAGGTTTAGCACCGGCAGGAGCGGTGGCAAGGCCAGTTCCAGCGTTGTCGCCCAGAGTGGAGCAACCTTTCTGCCGAGTCAGGACATAAAGCAACAGCAGCGGAAGGCGGTGCTTCTGGGGCCATGCTGGCAGATCTGAGGCAGTGCTTCTTCACGGTCAATGCTCAACCACTCAGCAAGCACTGGCGGCAAAGTAGCCATGCCAGACTTGATGCAAGAGCAAGTGCCAGAATGTCGGAACACCTGTCAGACTTGATTGGTCCAGGACAATTATCAGGTTTGTTCGGACAACAATCAGAAACAGGCTTGGCGGCTTGGACTTTTGGTCAGAACGTGTTTTTTCACATACCAGGCATGATGCTAGATTGATGCTAGAACAGAGGTCAGAACACACCTGCAAGAACAGATCTCGGAAAATGGGACTTGTGTCAGAACACCAGACTTGATGCCAGAACAACTGTCATAACGTACTTATATGCCAGAAGATGCTCTGGCGCACAAGTGAGAGCAAGTGTCGGAACTAGGATTGTTCTCTGTGTGGCGTTGCGGCCGGGGCCCCACGGGAGACGCTGAAAGCCATGCGTCCCACCGTCACCGTCACGCCCAGCTGGCTCCGAGTCAAATCCACCCAGCTGGCTCCAAGCAATCAAACACAATGTGGCTTCACTCAGGTCATCTCATGTCACGTATATCAAGAACTGCGTGCATGAGACCTGGGCCTTGAGAATGCGTGAGACCTATAGTACCTCATCTTTGCGAGGCCTATGCACCTTACTTACGAAGACCCGTTTTGTCTCTTCCTGCCATCGTCCTTTTGGAATGCCAGCCTGGAGGACAATTGCCCTGAAGATCCCTGAAGGGGTTATGACAAGTGATTGGTTTTTGAGAAAATGCTCTTCAAATCGTTTGAAGCATCATCCCACTTAGAATTCTGCAGTTTTCCGATTAAGATATGTCAAGTGGAGCGATCCGTCAGGCTGTTGATAATTTTGTGACTGAGAAACCATGAGAAACCGTAACTGGGGTGGGTTTGGAGGGTGAAAATGTTGGAGCACTAGAGATACAGTATCAGTATCATAGAGTGTTGATGAGCGATTACACTTTTTTTTCAATATCCTTGCAGAGGAAACATGTATGACTTGACGAGGTAAAATCTGAGGTGGGCATGATTGAAATGAGGGTGTTGCTGCTCAGGTCATGCGGGGACCTAAGGCCGCTAAAGCTGGGCAACCAGCGTTCTAATCTATGAAACATTATGAAAACATGTTCAGGACGCCTCTCATGTTCACCGGTATCACAACATACATGCAGAAGAATTATCAGAACATATGCCAGCCAGAATGCAGATCAGAACATTAGCCACACTTGATGCTAGAACATATGTCACAATAGGTGTCCACTAGTGTGTCCACTGGCATGTCAGGCAGTATGCCAAAGCATTTGCCAGGATCGTTTTTTTATTCAATTGTGTTTTCCTCTTTCCAAATACTTCTCAGGGGTGGCGACTGATCGAACTAATTGTTTGTTTTTGTAACAAGTTTGCTTCATCTCCTCCCTGGGGATGTGCTTATGAGTCAGTTGAATTGGTCGTTTTCAGATCGTGGGTCGTTCAAAAGACTACACATAACGAGTCGTTCAGATGGTTTTCAGATGGTTGGTCCAAAACAAATGGTTTTTCAACAGTTTGCCAAACTGTTTTGGGCAAGGCGTCAGTCGTTCCAAGGCATTCAAGCTGTCAGTCCCCGCCCTGCCCTTTTGGCTAGGCCAACTGGGTCACGAAAACTGCAAATTGAACTGGTTGGCTAGAACACATTGGGCACCTCAGAGCAGCAGCGTCTTATGATAGGGACGAATTAGTAGGAGCCTGTGAATATAGGTGATTTGTTCAGATCAAATCCTTTTTTGCATTGGACCATTTTTCCTTTGTTCTTTAGACAGTTTTCTTTTTTAGACCTGAGATGTGTCTGAAAGTATGTGGTTTCTCCCGATCAAATCCCCTGTTTGGTCAGAGCGACTTAATAATCTTTATTCGCCACCACCGGCTGCAAACCCCCACGCTCGCCCACACGCAGAGTACATGCAGGACTACGCAGCCCATTGCAAGGTTTGTCCAGTGGCAGCTGCCTTGCGGACACCGACTGAGAACGAGGGTGCGGGAAGTTTCTACGAGGACTCCAGACTAGAGATTCTGCTTAGATGGGGAGACATGCGCTAGCACACCCTGGTCAGTGTGTTCTAGTGGGGAATTGAGTTTGGAGGTTGAATCTTGAAGCTTGATTTGACAATAAAGCCACCTCAGAAAAGAGCAAAACATTGGCGGCCTAGCAACTCCATTTGTTTGTTATCGCCGTTATGTGAACGTGGCGACCCTGGCGGCTAACCAAGTGAATGTCACTCCACAGATGTGAGCTGAGCACATAGATCCACAGAAGTGTATACAGACACGTGTGATCACGTGTGTATATAAAACTAAATATGTGTGTATACCTCAGTATGTAAAGGCCACAGGAGGTCAGGTATGGTGATGTACAATGTATGACTCGTTGACCACCTGAGGGAGCGATGTCGCAAATTTTATCAACACGATTTAGACACACTAGTATGGAGTACAATCCATTCTAGACAGAACCGCGCCTTTTGGCAAAGTCACCCTGCGCTTTTCGCTGTATATGTATGCCTATGCTATATTATGATGATTATGCTATACTATCCATGATGTCTCCATGGTCCATAGGAAAAGTATTTGTTCCTGGCAGCAGCCCTGTCATGTGCATTTGCTGGGGCATCTTCCACTTCAACCAGAAGCCTGATCCGATTTCCTGGGTTTGTTTAAGCATGTTAAGCTGCTTAACCGTGTCATGTTGCCTTTGTTTCCTTTTGATGCATGAGACTTTTTTCTGCCAGCCTTTACAGGGAGATTCAGAGAGAGCGAGGGAGAGCTTTGTCGTTGCAGCAGGAAGTGGTGTTCTGATGTGTATTTTAGTATTTTACGTAAACTTGCACCAAATCGCGATGTAGTCTATTTCTTGCCCTATGGATCCACATACCTTCTGAGAAGGTGATTGGAGACTAGTTATGTAGGCTTGGAGGGCCCAAGTACCTTCTGAGAAGGTATGTTGATCCCTAGGGTTTGTCATTCGCAAGACAATACTATATTTGTCAGGAATTAATTTTGTATTGTATACTAGATTCGGTTGGTTGGCGGCAGCAACTTTTAGAGGAGCTAGGCCCTTGCCATGTGTTGGACACAAAGGGTTCCCCGGGACACATGTTTGGTGGACAATTTAGCGCATACACTGGAGAACACTGTTTTGGAGTGTTGAAGTCCTTCTTGTCAGTACTGTGGTTTTTGCAGTAGGATCAGTAGAGGATCAGTAGATGGCAAAAACCTGCCACCTATTTCTATAACACGGGATTTATATACACCTCTGACAATATTGAAACACGTTGCCATCGACTCTGAAACAATTGGAATCGAACATGTCCTGCAGAGATGTTGCCATCTCGGACGCGTGAAGGACGATATTTGCGTGGCAAAGTATGACTTCGATGGTTCACCTGGCCGAGTTTCGATGCATTTTTGTCCGGCAACGTTCTCCTCTTGATTTGGAGCCCGGCAAAGTTCTTTTTGGATTGGAAACATCGGACAGCAATTTTCTGCGACATTCTCCTCCTAAAAAAACCTTCACATCCTTCACGCCTTGATGAACTCTCTTCGGACCATTTTTGATCGCGACAAAGAATCAGAACCGAATTCTTGGCTCAGGAGCCAAGAGCTGAGTTTTGGGCTAGGTTTGGCAGACACAGTTTTGTGCCACGTGCCAGGTGCCAAAGTAAGGGCACGAGTGAAACAGACACTAGCTTTGTGATGCTTTGTGGAGAGATGAGGTTCACATTTCCTTCCATATTACTATAAAAGGAAGGTATATTATTCCTTCCACAATTGATGAATTACAAAATATGTGGCTATAATACAAGTAATGTATACCTTTGTTTACACTTCAATGAACAAGTACTTCTATTGCAACAGCCCGACCTCCCGCAATATCTCACCTCCTCCAACTGCCTTCAAATTCAATTGTTTGTTGTTCATCCAGCTTGGTTTTCTCCCCTTTCACTGCCATTTACAGCCCTTTTACGTCCACCTCGTCATGCCGTTCGTTCGTTTGTTCGTTCTTTTTCCGCCAGGGGGTGAGAACCCCAAGCTGCTGCGCATCAATGCGAAGGATATGGTGAAGATCTACCGGACCGTACCATGGCTTGGATATGATTCAGTTGGACAATCAATTGGACATACCGACCTCGGTTGGACATAGATAGCAGAAGATCTCCCACTCTACTTGGACGAGGCTCTAGATCTGGAATTCCACCACGACTGGAATCTCCCACTGCACACGGCCTCGTGAGGGATTCAAGTCGTGGCCTCGTGAGGTGAGTGCTGCTCCCTGAAAGGTGCCCTTTTTGGGGGAGACGATCACCCCCATGAACCACCTGTATTTCTTTGCACCAGCTCCCCTGACAGAAATGCACCCTGCACCATGAGATGCCAGAAAATGAGGCACATACAGAAACCCACCGTGCTCAGACTGTAGTGAAGCCAACAAGACGTGCCAACCGTGCTCATTTCTTTGTTAGTCCGGGCCGTCGCCCCAGTTTTTTTCTCCAAAAACAGTCCCTATAGGCCTCCAAGTACATTCTGCGAAGGTGTTTGGGGTTTGGAGGGTCTAAGTACCTTCTGAGCAGGCACGTGGAGGTGTAGGGAGTATGAGTAGGATTCGCTGGGCTTTGTCTCAAGTTTGGACAAAAGATGTTAGATCCTCCAGTCAGAACGCACGGATGTTCCTTCAGATGAAGAAATGGGAGAAGCAAATGTGTAAAAAACAGACTGTGCTTTCCTCCTCGCCATCCTCCTTGTGATTTGTGCCCTCGGCCTTTTCACACATCTCCTCACACTTCTTGAGTCTTCTGCAGCGGTCAACCCCGTGCATCTTGAAGCTTCAATAGTCTTGGTGGGACTGCTGGAGAGTTTTTGGGGTGTCCTGTGAATTTGACACGTCCGATAGCCAAAACTGGCCCAACACTGGCGCCCGGGCCGATTTTCTCGACATCCACTTGCCAACCGGCGCCTTCTCCAGGTTCCCTCCGGCTGGGCTGGTGGCATCCTTTTGGACAAGTGCATGGAAGAAGTGGGACTGCCAGGCCGCGCAGAGTCCTCGGTCCGGTCGGCCTCCAACGGTCGGGAACCACCTGCTGACGGCCCGACATGGGCGTGAACAACACTGACACGGCGCCAGGAGTGGGTGTTGAAAGGCAACGTTATAGAGAACCACTGCAGTGACATAAGAGCAGCATCACTAGCAAGATCACGTAGCGCGATCCCTGCTATGCCCTGCTATGCCTGGCTTTGTGGATCAGGTGATGCTTTTTTCTCCCCGAACTGGTCAAAACAAACCGGTTGATTTTTGCTTAAGGTTCCTCAAGCAAATCCGCGTATAGTTGTAGCATGTTGTAGCTATAAGCATCTACAAACCAAGTAGTTTCGCCGATTTGGTGACAATACTTGTGGGCCACTTGACTAGGTGGGCCTGCACACCTTGGAGCCAGCAAGTGTTGCCTCCTTGATCAGCACTTTGATCAGCTTCGTTCCTTGAAAAAAGGAGTTCTTCCGACCTTGGGGAAACTTCAAGCAGCCCGAAGCTGGGAATTTCCTGCCTGACAGATCACTGTGAGAACAGATGATCAGAGATGCCAGGCTGGTTCCCCATCAAGTACGTTGAGCTCTACAAGGCTGGACGGCACTTCCAGCAATGTGACAACCTTCCCAGATGGATCAACTTATGTGATTGGAGTGGAGTTGGACCATTCCGACCGTTCTGGACGCATTCCCCGGAAACAACGCTCTGAAGACATCGCGCAGGACAAAGAAAACATTCCATGACGAGGAGAAGCGAAGAAAGGCGACGATTGGGGTGGAGGTGTTTCCTGTTTCCCGAGAGGTGTTCTTTTTTTCTTTGAAGTGGTCCTTCATTTTGTGGAGGCCGAAGATTTAGAGCGGTGAGTTTAGATTATTTTTGCTGGTCGCTGGTCCTTTGATTCTTAGGATGAGCTCAAGATGATCTGAATAGGGCCTTAAAGACATCCAGAACACACATGGCTCTACAGTATCAAAAACATGTTAATTAGCCATGTCCAGTCAGCATTTCGCCTTTCCCCACACCTTTTTTACCTGCAGGGCCTGGCGTTCGGCGCCTCCACTGGAGATATTTTTGGCCCAGCAACTGAAGACGGAATGATGAAAAATTTGCGTTGCCACTGGCGGTTTGGCTCTTCTGCCACGCGGCCGTGGTTCGGTCCAGTTTCACCTGACTTCCATCAGCTGGCGCGCCATGAACACACCGTGCCACGACTTGGACAGCTTTAGGTGACGCTTTCACATTCCATAGCGAGCCAACCCTCAAACTCACTAATGAGTATATTACATTACTAATCTAGTATATGGGGTCCTCATAGTCTTTTTTTCTGTGTAAACATCAAGCATCGTTTTCCTCAGGCCCAGGAGATCTCCAATGCTCCTTTTCTCACATCCCCCGGTGCACGTCGTGCTCCCGGCGTTTGTCACCAGCGCTCGTTCCCCCCGGCATCTGACCGGGTCCGCCATTGGAGAGAAGGTCCGACCAGCAGGAATGCGATGCGAGTCACGGCGGGTGTCACAATGCTTATTTCGGCGGAACGGCCCCCGAGAGACCTGGAGTTTGCCACGTGGAAGCACACCTAGAGGGAAATTCAACGTATAGACTCTCCAATCCACACCAAGCAGGACTTTGAAAAACCGCTCAGAACACTGGGGACGATTGCTGAGTTCAAGGGAGTGTACCTCAAAGCATGGATTGATGGGATTTCTTATTGGCTGCTTTGAACACCGGTGCGTTTTAGCGCCGACTGAGCCGTGACAGTTTTCAGGAACAATACGCATGGAGGATAGGAGCTGATCAGAGTGACCAGGTAGTAATACAGGCACATGGGGATAGGCATATTTTCTTGACTATGCTGGACCCGTCTTTCACGTGTGGGTGTAAAGGGCACCTGGGATGAACCTTGGTGGCGTACTGGTACTCATGTATATAATAAATACACATGTTTCTTCGACCAGATCCGAACGATCCGTCCCGTTTTTGTGTTTGGCCTGAACGGCAACTGCATCAACCTTCTGGTTGCGATCTTTGAAGAAGGATCAGCGAAAATCAAACACCAAGATCCGTTCAGGCCACAACGGAAATCACAGTTGCCTGAACGATTGATCCTGTTGATGTTCTTGAACGATTTCCGCCGCAACAACAACGTTCAAGATCTGTTGATTTTCTTTGTTGCCAGCGAAAATCCAACCACCTCAGGTTTGACTCTCCGCCCTGTGTGGCCTGCGACTTCCAACGTCGACGGAAGGCGCTAGGCGCGGCACTCCCGGGCGAGGAATGGGGTGGAATAGAATTAATTACTGTAATACATAGAGCAAACTATGTATTTGAGTTGAATTAAACCGTTAACAAAAAAATAACAATCACATGGCTCGAGAATGCAAACAAACATGCAAAAAAAGCCATCAATGGTTGTTGTTTTTCCTCTTCCACATCCCGTTCAATCGTTGAGGTTTGGACGTCGCGCTGCAAATGTGGCTTCGGGCAGTGAAGCGAGACCTGCGGATCAGTCTGGCGGCCGGGGGTCCCAGCTCCTCGTGGCGGGTACGGGGGGTCACGGGGCGTCGCTGGGACGGCAGGCCGGTTTGGAAACCCCTGTTTAAGAACCTAAGGACCTCTAAGGCATTCTATATTTATACAAATAATCAGGGATGTGCGTGTATTTTTTTGATAAGTATACCAGGACCGGACCTCCAAGGCGTGGTGAATAGATACCGGGCTATCAATAGACACCCCGAAAGGTGTCGGGTCTTCGACCTCCACCCGACACCTCCCCAGGTCCGGACCTCCGGCGTGGAGGCAGCGGGCAGCGGCTCGGGCAGCTGGTCGGTTCGTTCGAGTCGGAGCGAAGAAAGCCAGCGCACTAGACCGACCAGCACCACGGTCTAGACGATCCCCCCTGAAGAGGTAGGAATTCCATCCCCAAAACCACCCGAAATGGGTGGTGCTGGTACTTGGAGGATCTTGGAGGACAGGACTTTGTTTTCAGTTTTCAAGGCTTTTATGGTTTTTTCTGGTTTTTTTACAGGTTCGGTGTTGGTTTGATGGCGTCATTGGCGTGTTCTCCTGGTTTTCCGTCTCCTCCCAGTGACGGCCGTTTCCGCACGGGTTTTCACTTGGCGGGCGGAAGCAGTTGCCCCAGCACGCCCATGAGCCCCCAGACGTCCTCCATTCATCCGCACATGTTTAACGGACCGATCCTACTGTCCGAGCGTGTTGGAGAGTTTCAGCGATCCCAAAGCTGGGGTCCCATCATTTCGATCGAGTGCTTTTCAGTGTTTGGGGAAATGCAGGGATCGCAGCCTTGAGGTATTTAGATCACATCCACTGGCTGTTTTTGGAGCCGTCTTCGGCGGAATAGACCCTGCCGTTTGAGCTAGTAGATCCCCTCCAAAGAGCCTGGGACCTTGCCAGATGTCCTCTTTGGCAACCAACGGGCGGGGTGCCACAGATTGAACACTGCAGTGGGACAGTTGGAGGGTCTTCTTCCAAAAGGCAGTGTTTCAAGAGGCTTCAGCATAGCAAGCCCAAATGATCCCAAATGCAACCTGGAATGTCGCGGAATAGCTTTGCTGGGATGTTGTCTGCACAAATTATAGCGAGGACAAACGAGGCAACGAGGTGGCTTAGGGAGAATTAACGAGGACAATCTTACTTTCGTTCCATGAATTAAGAAACTGACGAGGTAGCCTCGGATGGTTCCGGTTCAAGTTGGAGGTGGTTAAAAAAGAAAACACTTTTTGGGCTTCAATAAGTTGCCTTTGCTTGGCTCTGAACGTCAAAGTGATTGAATGGAATAATAAACTTTTCAAGGCCCAGAAAGTTTTTTTTTCATTTCCCAGGGCCAAAGGCATCTTCTCTTTTGGACCAAAAGTGTGTGTGATCGGTGCTTCTATGAGTACGCAGGCATGAGTATGCTTTGGGTTCTCGTTTCGTCTCATGGGCACGAGCTCTACAAGGTTGATGTTTGCCCAGAAGGCACATGGAAACCTGTGCCTCAACCTGCTGGAGTGTATATTTAAGAAACTGACGAGGTAGCCTCGGATGGTTCCGGTTCAAGTTGGAGGTGGTTCAAAAAAACCTTTTGGGGCTTCAGTAAGTTGCCTTTGCTTGGCTCTGAACGTCAAAGTGTTTGAATGGAATAATAAACTTTTCAAGGCCCAGAAAGTTGTTTTTCCATTTCCCAGGGCCAAAGGCATCTTCACTTTTGGACCAAAAGACGAGAAGGCACATGAAAACCTGTGCCCCAACCGGAACCTGTGCGGATCGCTAGCTGACGAGGTATGGGCAGGAATAACTTTTTTCCATCGGGAAAAGTTTATTTTTCACCACTTCAGCAATCCAAATGATACTGTTGTATTAATTTCCTTTCGTGAATTAACGAGGGACAGCCCTAATTTGATGACCCGAATTAGCGGACGAGGACACTAAACGCGGCCAAGAAATTAAGCCCACGAGGGAGACGACCTAAGAAATAAAGTAACTTGCACAGATGTTGTCGGAGAACTAGTCATGACCCACAGCAGACGGAAAAAAACAGAACGGCAGGCCCTGAGAGTGCAGTTTTTTGCTATGTTTCATTTGTTCTTAGGACTAGATTTTACTGTACTCCCAGGGTGGCAGCAGGCAAGACAAAGCAATATTTGGATCTAGAGTGGTACCAAAAACATTGAAACAATCAAGAAAAAATCTATATTTTCAGACTCTCTGGAGGGGGCGGGTTCCCAGCCATGATTTTCTGAATATTCTTTGTGGCAGCAGGCATCCAGAAGGTAAGCTTTAAAATAAGATATACATGCTCAAATATGGAACTGATTATTCTCAGAGATTTAAAGGAAAGCTCTTGAACAAAAAGGCTTTCAACTATAGCGGTTTAATGTAAAAACTTCAGAAAATCCAGAGATGAAGGGGAAAACTCTTGAATTAGCAGCTTTAAAAATTGCTTTTATAGAAGGGATCATTCCAGAGATCTACAGAGAGGAAACCCTTTGACATAGAAACTTTTATACAAAGCTTTCTTAATATAGAAATGATTATTCCAAATATTAGTTGAACAAGTCTATCTGTCTACCTAAAAGGCAATGCTTTGACCTAGTTCCCAGCACTCCCAGGGCAATAAAACACTGTAAAACATATGATTTTATATCATTTTGTCTTAAACTCACACCCCCAGCAACACCTACTCCCTGGAATTAAATTAGACTTGACCAAGAATCTAATTTTCACAATCAAAATATTATATATAAATTATGTTTGTTTTAAAGACATATGAGATTTGACCCTATCGTGGTTATGCCAAAGCTTTACTATACCTTAGTCTAAAGAACATTTTAGTTTTTGCAGTAAAGGTACCCTTCTCACACCCAATTGTCTTGCCAAACTCTCACCTTCTAGCTCTGCCATCACGAGAGGGCCAGACTCAAAGGCAACTGGACACTATATAGATGCTGATAAGCCACGAAACTATACATGTCAAATGACTTAATGAAATTCCAAAAATAACAAAAAAGTGCACTCTCACAGCCTGCCACTCTCAAAAAAAACGGACTGTCGCAGATCCTTTGTGTAGGGCACCGTGGCATTGCTTTCCATGGCTTATAGTGGATTGAGAGTAGATGGCACAGACCCCAAGAGCTGGTTTATATGGACCCCATCTAAAGAACATGTAGGATCAGGGGGTTGTGCCATCTACTCTGACTGAAACCACTGTATTTGTTTTTGGAGGGCAACTTTGAGACTTTGACATCCTTTGACCGGCACTGGTACTCCACACGCGGGGGACATAGTGGGGCCCCTATATATAATCCCGTTTTGCTTATTTCGGGATGCTGGGATGTTGAATATGACCTATTGTTAATTCGCTACTGGAGTGAATCTGGACTCTGGAACGTTTAGATGATGTCAGGGGTTTTGGTTAAATGCATTCAAATGCACGATCCTTATCATGTTGTGCTGAATGCTGTGCAACTTATATTGATTTGCCACCAACGCCTGTATACAGAGTGTTGGCATGTTAAAGTTTGTGCAGGCCATGGCCAGAGAACTACCTTGTCCAAACGAATGCGCAGGATATGTCGAAACCACTAAAGCTTTACCTTTGCCAACATCTTCAACGGCTGCAATCCGAAACAGATAAGATCAAAACTTAGCTGGAGCGTGATGGATTCAACAGATCTGGTTGTGTCGATTCAAATCCGAAATGGTCTTCATCAGCCTTCCATGAGTGAAGGGAACTTCCTTCATCAGCCTTCGAGGCAAAGTGGTGACGGTCCAGAGCTGAGTCTGCAGCACGCTTGCGATGGAGCACGCTTGCGCCCTTTCCCTGGGCATGGATGCCCCAGGGTCCAGGGTGTTTCATGCACCCTTCAGAAAGGCGTGCAGTGGTATGCAGGATCCAAGGAACCATGCAGGGTCCTCCCATGGGACTGTCTGCCGGAGACGAAGCCAGATGTCTCGGGGAGGATGCGGATGTTAGGATTTGGATGGTTTGCGTTTGATTGGGCGTGTTTTTTTAAAGATGCTTCAGCGTGGCACAGAGCTTTTGGCGAGAGCAAGGTCCCCAGATCAATACCATCATCTCTTCTGGTTTGATTGGCGAGTCGTGTGCCAGGCCTTGGCTTTGTTTTTTCGCAAGTCTGCTTTGAAGAAGAGCCCAGCAAAGAAGCGGCCCCCTAAGAAGAGAGCTGAGTGAGCCTTTATCCGTCAGTTCCCCTTACATGTTGAACATGCAGTGGTTGAGACTCGACAGGTTGTTTCGTGACCTATGGCAAGGGGTGCTCTTGGATTGCAACCCCCCCCAAGGGCGTAAAGATGTGAAGACCGAAGTTGATGACCCACCGCGCATGGCTGAGGGAAGGGAGACAAAGTTTCTTCCGTGGTGAAGTTGGAGGCGCCTCGCCGTCACGAAGAGGTCCTGTCGGCCCATGGGGAGTGAGAAAGCACCTCGAAGAACCACTGGGAAAACTGGCCCTCCCAACAACGAGATGTAGACCGTGGTACTACCCAAGCTTTAGTTGTACTATTTGCCTTTTGGTACTACTCTTTTGAGTAGGGGTTCCTGCTACTATGGACTGGGTTGGGAGAGAATTCCAGGTGGCACAGACGACGTCAGAACCGCAGCAGTGCAGCAGTGCAGTTCGTGCAGGGTGTGGCAGGAGGTGCTGTGGTGTGTGAGCTGTAGAATTACAATCTTTGTTGCAGGCAAACTATCAGGTGAAAAGAGTCCTTGGCAACTGGCCATCCGCGTTTCGTTTCGTCCTTTTGGTTTGTCCAGTCTGTTCCGTGGAGCTTTGTTGCAGTCTGTTCGTCACAAGCGATGCATGGTGAGGACCTGGTTTTTCTCCCGCCGGTCACGGTTGGAGTGATGATTAGGGTCAAACCGATGTATGATACAGCTGTCCAGGGCAGGGTACATCCTCAGAACCAACAGTTGGGCCTGTGTTCTAGTCACAGGTTTCGTGTTTAAGTCCCATTTGCTGTTCAAGGTCTATAGAAAAGACATACACTCCAGACCTCCAGACCCTTGTTTTCTCCGGCACCACGGGATGTCCACGGAGACAAGGACAGACTCAGAGAGGTCCCATACCCCCATGTCTCGAGGTCCCGCCACCCAGCGGTGTTTTTGAGGGCTTTTCCCGGACGCGACCGGCCACCGCGACTTGCGACCGGTTGCGACTCGCGACTAGAAGTCTTTGGGAGTCGACTCATTCCAATGGAAGTCTTTGGATCCACTGCCACCTTCGAAAAGAAAGTACGATTGGACCCTCCAAGTATAAAGAGAGTATGATCCATAGGATCCATAGGGGATGTGAGCGTGAGCGTGCAGCACGTTGCACGCAGGTCTTTCTCGTGATGTAGAACGCGACCGAAAGCTAAGACCGAAAGCTAACATGGACTCGGGTCCAATGGCTTAATGGCTCCCTAGAGGATTGTTTTCCTTTACCAACCAGTGGTTTTCAGGGTCCATGCTAGTCTTCCAGGGTCTCACCGATAATTAAAGATGTTGGACTTATTGAACCGGGTAATGCAGGATCCTGATTCGTAGATAGCTCCCCCCCTAGCGTCGTATGAGCATGATTCCAGGGAGCTTGGCCTGGGGACGGCGAAAAGATAAGAAATGGAGATGAAAAAGGGACCCAACATATCCTTTGTGATTCTAAGGGGCCCATTTAAATAAATACGTCAATAATAAACGTATATGTATGCTGTATAGGTCAGAGTTTCCGGAATCAAGCAAAACCTCAGAAGAGGCCAAGCAAAGATTATAAGTTCAAAGGCAACCAATAGCTGAGAAATAGAACACGTAGCTCAGATTTGTTTTTCTTCCCAGGGCGCTTGTGGACTACCGCTTCGATTAATACTGTGATTGTTTGGGGTGTTGGAATTAGGGTGCTTGAGAACTTGTTTTTCGGGTCAGGGTTCTAGGATTCCAGCAAAATCTATAAGAGGAGGCATGCAGTGGTGCTGATGCTGCTGGTGCAAACAGACAGGATTAGCAATACACTGAATACACTCTTGCAGAAGACCTGTTTTACTATTCCAACCCCCAAAACCATTCAAGGACAACTTCATTATGCGTGCTCCATTTTACAAATCAGGATCAACAAGTGTGCTTTTTCTCCGTCCCATGCTTGATCATCGCTCACAATGCGTTCGGTACAACAAGTTGCAGTTTCACATGTTTGATAGCCCTTTGTCCCAAGAAGCAGGGTGATTCACTCAGAGGATATGATCCACCTTCATCCAAACTCCGCAGGTTTGGATCCAAACTCTGTATGTTTGCATCCTCACGCAAGTTCCTGTTCAGAGCAGAGTGAAGAAGAAGAGGTTGGTCCAATCCAACCAAACATGCGGTTCTGGGCTCTCAGAGTCTCAGTCCTGCTTGGCCCTAGGTTTGCCAGCTTACAGCAAGTACAGCAGCTTGGTATCTAGGGCTGCTTGTCCTTCAATCCCTTACCACTTACCACATCCTTTTTTGCCCCATGACCACATCGTGCTTCACGTTCCTTTCTTCCGGCCGGCAGCTCAGGGCAGCTCGTTAGGAGGTTCCCTCAGCCAGATGTCGGGTGCCCCGCTCTTTTGCGCGACCTTCCGGGCAAGGACGACGATTGAGAGTCGAGAGGTGGCTTAACCCATGGGACTGCCATAGGACTGCCGATCAGTTGGGGTGGTTTCGGGGGGGCCGGGCGGCAGTCCTATGGCAGTCCCATGGATTGCGTTTGGCATTGTAGCAACACTTCGTGACCATCGGTTCCCAGAGAGCGGGATCGCATGGGCGCGGTCGACTGGCCGGTCCCGGACTGGTGCAATACCTGGCATATGCATGTCGCCAAGTCCATGAACCTCATCCCATAGCATGAAGTCAAACAAGAGAAGCCGCTGAATTTGCGGAGGAAAAGGAACTAAACAGATCACCCGAATCAGTGGAAGAAAAAAGAAGAATTCCACACCAATGATCAAGCCAATCCCGACGTTCGGCAAAAGGCCTGAAGTTTGTAGTCCCATGTCACCCCGTGGGTTCTGGATTCGTGTCGCCCAACATCTTCTATACAAATTCGGAAACGGGAAAAAAACGAAACAAGCAAGTTTCCCTTATTTTTCGCAAAAGAGGTCGCCCGCCCGACCAAAGCACCCCTTCCAAAGCATGAAGCTGTATGCGTCACGGACTGCCTCAGTTCAACCATGTCATCCCGCCTCCACGCAATCCATTGGTCTCGGCACAGCTCACAGTTCTTCTGCTCCAAAAGGGCTTAAGGTCGAGTGGTAAAGGTCTGAAACTTGCGTGGATGATCGGAGAATATCGGAGATGTGGTGATCACCGCAACGTGGCCTCTATATCAGGATGTTGTTTCATGAATCGCTTTCCCACACTGGAAGATCTGGAAGTGGGGGGAGTTTCTGTGTCGAATGAACTGTACATGGACATACGACGCCTCCCCGAGAAAGCCCGTCCCAGCCGTCCTGGCTTAGCCCGGAGCTCGGTTAGCTTGGAGCCGATTTCAGCCACCTGTGGAGCTGCGCAAGGGCAGCCAGGCAGGCCATGGCCGCAAAGTGGAGCGTGGCTTGGTCGTGTTTAGGTCCGACTACGGCGGCCTGGTCGATGTTGACAGTGCTTCTCCCTACCTGGCTGGGAATGCCGAAGTCAGAGGGTAGTTTCTCTCATTCTCATCAGGGGATCCCCCCTTTTTCAGAGGGTTGGTTCCTCAGTTCAGTTCGATTGCTTCACCGGGGCGGACACGCAACTTTGCTCGGCATTCGGGTTCAGACAACCCTGTCCCATCCACCAGATCTTGGTTTAAACAGGTAGGTCTTTGAGCCCAGATTCCAGTTGCAACCCAGGCTTTGGCCCACCTGCCCTTATGGGCGCAGGCACAGTGGAAGCTGCGGCTATGCTGGGATTGGGCTAAAACAGGAGTGAGAAGTACCGAGCCTGAATCGGAGCATGATGGTGCATGGAAGAAGGAACCCCAAAATACTAAGAATATACAATATATATATACACTCTCTGGAAGGAACGAAGTGGAGAATGGCCCCGAAAGGAAGACCATTCTTCTACAAACAGGTGGTGAACTCCACTTCCATGTTAGTTCCAGGGAGGTTTGTATTTTGTGTGTTCATCCGCAAGCCAATTATATTAATATGCTGCATAAAAGATTATAGCAGCAATATAAGTAAAAGATGGGCAACCTTTTATTTTATAAGAGCTATATATTCATTGCAATTGGAATTTGGAAGACTGCCACCTGGAGACGAAGAATCGGTCATTGTTTCATCCTTTGAACACCACCTGGAACCGAACCTAGGACCTAGCAGCTCACTGCAGGTTTGGTTTACGAAGATGATTTGTGACACGATCCGATCCACACGCAAAAATCCCTGAGCAATCCTTCAATCTTGTTTCCTCGTTTCTCAGTCACTTCCGACACAGGCCTCGTCCGGAAGCCTGGCAGTTGCTGAGCTCCCTGGAGGTCTCACGGTCTTCCTCCTGGGGAAGCGGGCAGTGCCAAGCTTAGGATCGACTTGGATGGGATTTGATGTGTATGGGATGTGATGTGGAAAATTCAGGGAGGCGCATGCCGCACGCGTTTCTTTTTAAACTTTGGCAGGGCAGTTTCGGAAAACCAAAAGCCTTCCACACGTGCCAAAAGCAGCGAGCACGCGCGGATACGTGCGGCTGAGCCTTGCGCTCAAACCACGAATCCAGCGTGTAGAGTCAGAGGCCCAAACGCAGCGTGCTTTTGGAAGACCACAGCGTGCCCCTGAGGCATACCAGAGTGGAGAGACCTCTGAAGTGGTGCACATCTGCGTCCAGGAGCGTGAAACAAGCCACTGACTGTTACTCAACGGCCTTTCCTTGGCGTCCTGCAATTTGGGATCACAAGTGTTAAAATCAATGAAGGTTGGAGATTTGCATCACAGCCTGCGAGAGAAAGTCATGAAATGCAGATGCCGGACTCTTCAATCCTTGGGTGTTTTGTCTTTGAATGGCGTGTGAGATTCCCAGCATGCTGTCGTCTATGCGGAAATAGCTCATCAAAGTGGTGAGTAATATAGGCCCCCCAACTAGATCGAAGTTCGTGGATCCGTCGAACATGTCGACCGGGTTTCCCGTGCCAGTGTTATGCTCTTTGGGGATCACTTCCGGATGGGGTGGACCGGATCCAGCGGGGTCGTGTGACGGCGACGCGTGACGATCTCAAGGACGGCAGTGGCTTCATCGAGCGCAGATTGCTGATTGATGTGAAGATCGAGCCCAGCGCGCTTCAGCTCAAGTACGGACAAGTACGACTATAGTCCTTAGCGGTTGGGATGAGGAGATGGCAGTGGGAT